AAGAAGTTCTCATTTTAACTATCTTGAAAACTAAGATTTTCCTTCAATCTTTATAAATAAAAAGATAACCGCTTCAATTCAAATTAGATAATAAGAAATTAATACAAAATATTTCAAAACCATCCCAGAACCCGGTGTCACAAGTGCATGAGCAATTTCTAAGAAAGACCAAATAAGTACAACATCTGTCCGGAATACAATTTGACAGAAAAATAAATAGAATCCTGAGAGAGACTATACTAGCTGAGGGTCGCCTTGAGGAAATACAGCTCACCTAGTCTCTGTATCAACCATGCCGCTATGCCACTATGTCACTAGCCACATATAGACCTGTGTAACAAAAATGCACAGCAAGTGTAGTATGAGTACGAAAACAACGTGTACTCAGCAAGTATCCCGTCTAATCTCGAAGAAGTAGAGACGAGAGGCCGACTTCAACACTTGCTAGTGGTCAAATAATAATATAATAAAAATGTGAGGAAATCATGGATTTATATAGCAGTTCTAAGTCACAAAGTCAGAAAACAGGTAAACACCGTTAACAAATAATAAAGGATTTTCAAGATTTACTTTTCATCATCTTTATCAATATATATCAGGCCTTATCAACATTTAAAAATTCTCAGGCAAACAATGTAAGCATGCGCATATCATGCCGAGGTCGACGGCCCGCTCCAACAGAAATGTAAACTGTGCACTGCCGAGGGTCAAACGGCTCGAACCATAGATGCATCTATTACCCCGCTCGCGAACTATCCTGCGACGCGGTCAACATAAAATAAACAAACACCCTGCTCGCGAATCATACATGCGGCGCAGGTACACATAGAGATACATGCTCAAACAGTCAATTAAGAATTTATTGGGGAATATTTATCCAAGTAAAAGCCAATTCTCTTTTAACAATTTAAGAAAATGAAGTTTAATCCTTTTAGAAATTCATTTACTAATTCAATGTGATTTAAGCAATTCAAGTTGTCAATAAGTTTACAATTAATCCAAGTATAGCATGTTTTGGGTCCTAGACTACCCGGACAATAGCATAATAGTAGCTACGCACGGACTCTCGTCACCTCGTGCGTACGTAGCCCCCACAAATAGGAGCACATAGCCAATTAACTCACCTATGGGTACAATTCTCTCTTACAAGGTTAGAAAGGAGACTCACCTCGCTTCGAAGATCCATAACCGGCATTTCACGCCCTTCCGAGGACTCGAATCGATGCACAACGCTCCAAAACTAGTCAATAATTATGTAAACCCATTAATATATGCTAAGGTACTCATTATAATCTAATCTATAACAATTCCTAACCCCGATCGAAAAGTTGACAAAAACGCCCTCGGGCCCATGTGCCCGGAATCCGAAATTTATCGAAGATAAAGTTTACCCATAGCCTCACGAACTCAAATATATGATTTTCTCTAAATTCCATACCCAAAATCGTGGTCAAAATCCAAGAATACTAGTTTTCTAGGTTTTCCCTTAAACCCCAAGTTTTCTACAATTTTCCATGTCTAAATCCATATATAAACCTTGTATATACTCAAAACTAGTAGAGATCACTTACCTCATGCTTGGTGATGAAAATGGCACTCCAAAGTTGCTCCAAAATCGGCTCCCATGAAAGAAATGAAGTGAAAATGAGTCAAACTTCGATTTTTAAAAGAACCCCACTGCCTCCAGTAGTTTCCGCATCTGCGGTCCCGCATCTGCGGAAAAATGACCGCATCTGCGGTTATGACAGCAACCAGCACTTTTTCCCGACACGGAAATGAGCATAACTCCCGCATACGATGTCCAAATTCGATGATTCTTTTTGCTATGGCTCCATAATTACGATACGGATCTAATAGTTCAATAAAAACTTAATTTGGAGCTCATTTGCTTAATATGGTACCCCTTTATGTCCAAAGAAACAGCGTTGAAACATCAAATAAGAGCGCGATACAACCCGAAACACACCCCGAGGCCCCGGGGACCCCGTCCAATCACACCAACCCACTCCATAACACATTACGGACTTGCTTGATGCCTCAAATCATATCAAACAACGCTAAAACCATGAATCAACCTCCAATACAAGCTTTATGAACTTTAGAATTTCAAACTTCTACTTTCGATGTTTAAACCTATCAAATCACGTCCGATTGACCCCAAATTTTGCACACAAGTCACATTTGACATTACGGACCTACTTCAACTTTCGGAATCGGATTTCGACCCCGATATCAAAAAGTCCACTTCTGGTCAAACTTCTCAAAAACCTTCAAATTTCTATCTTTAGCCAAATGACTCCAAAATGACCTACGGACCTCCGAATTCACTTCCGATCGCGCTCCCAACTCCAGAATCACCATACGGAGCTATTCACAGACTCGGAATCCCAAACAGACATCGATAACACTGAAATGCACTTCAAGCCAAACTTATGAAATTTCTTCCAAATTGCTAACTTCCACAATAGGCGCCAAAATGCTCCCGGGTTATCCAAAACCCGAACCGGGCATACGCCCAAGTCCGAAATCATCATACGAACCTGCTGGAACCTTCAGATCGTGATTCCGAGGTCGTTTACTCAATAATCCGATCTTAGTTAATTCTTTCAACTTTAAGCTTCCGAAGTGAGGATTCCCTTTCCAATTCAACTCTGAACTTCCCGAAATTAAATTCTGACCGCGCGTACAAGTCATAATACCTGAAATGAAGCTGCTCATGGCCTCAGGCTGCTGAACGACGCGCTAGAGCTCAAAACGACCGTCGGGTCGATACATTATCGGTTGAAGGTTTATTGAGCTTTTCTTGTCATCATTCCCTGTTGTAGTTACCTTATCTTGTACCCCTTTCGCATGTCCCCTCCTAATAGTATATGTTTAGCCCTTATTTGTTATTATGCTGTACGTATATCATTATCTACACTGGTTTATTTACGTGGGTGTCCTACCATAGCCTCGTCACTACCTCGTCAAGGTTAGGCTCGACACTTACGGAGTACATTGGGTCGGTTGTACTCATACTACGCTCTGCACTTCTTGTGCTGATTTTGGTACTGGTCCTAGTTGTCCGTGAGGCGTATCAGCTCGGATTAGCTTTTGGAGACTCGATGTAGATATGCTGGCGTCCACAGACCTTGAAGTCCCCTTCCACTTTCCCCCTATTTACTATTCTTTTCATTCGAGACAGTTGTACTTATTTCAAACCCCGTTTGTAGAAACACTAGAAGCTCGTGTACTTGTGACTCCAGATCCGGGTTGTAGTGGATATTGGTTTATTACGCTATTTCGTACTTTATTATGAATTTTATTTCTGTTTAATTGGTTAAATTGTTCAAAGTGGTTAAAATTGGTAAAGAATTACTCTAACGTTGGCTTGCCTAGCAAGTGAAATGTTAGGCGCCATAACGATCCCGAAGGTGAAAATTTCGGGTCGTGAAAAAACATTTCGAATACCTGGGTTTCAGGATTTACTGAATTATTCGTCACAGAATCTACAACATTCATGCCAATTTCCTTACCGGGTATTTTAACGAACACCTTGCAGGCATAACTTCTCGAATTATTATTCTCAGAATTTTCCATAGGTCTGGAAAGTCCTTTATCAAAATCAAAATCAGCCTATGATTCTGTAGTAACAAGTGGTGTTGAGACCTCCTCTGATTCGCACTTATCATCCAAAGACACAACCACGTCCGAGTGCTCTATAGCATCAAGGATCGTGTTGGAGGAGGCAGAGAGCTTGTTCTCCATGTTGTCGAGGTGTCTGAGCATACGAGCATTATTGTCCATCATCGCCTTTAGCAAATCCTGGATGACATTGAAATGATAGTGGATTATAGTAGAAGAGTAGAGATTCGTGGATTCTTCTCAATGAAAGTACCAATGTAATAAATAGTCAAACTCCTTAGTATATTAATAAGAACTGAAACACGATTACAATTTTGGGATAGTAATTGCAACACTCAGCTACTGAATTACAATAGAAAATACTGAAATAACAAGAAAATAAGGATATAGATAAGAGTAGTGATGAGAAGCTTAGACTTAGAGAATGAGGATGAGAGGATACAGACACTCAAGAAGAGGAGGTGAGAAGAACAGAGTGGGCCGAAGCTTCAACATAATTCTCTGCTTGTGCTATTTATTAATCTCCCCATCTCACGTGCTCCACAGAGGCAAACTCGTCTAATAGGTTCATAACAGACCGCTTATCTATATTATATTAAAAGCACGAACTTCCTTAGCGAAATGTTGTTCGCTTTTTTTGTACTCTTTAAGAATATTATTTATATTGGATAGGATTTTAAAATCAAAAACTTTTCCTAAAATTTAGGATTTCAAAATCAAAAAGCTATTTTCAATATAATTTTGTGTTGATATCTTTTCCAATAAAGACACAAAATATTTTTTTTTAAAAAAAAGACTAGGAAAAAGGGGGAAACTTTCTCTTCCAACAAGGAAACTTCACGTTTTGTGTATTATTTTTTTCTTTGTTCTTGTATATACGTCACACGTGACCAATTTGCCTCTTTATTTTTTGTTTATATGAACAATTTGCTGAATTTAAATCATAGTTAGTATTTTTCAAAAAGTTTGGTTATTAAATCCGTGTTTTCTTATTCTTTAAAATTAAATATTGCTACTAAAAATAGCTACCATTATGTGAGAACTATTGTTGAAAAATAGCAATCATTAATATTTATCGCTAATATGTCACTAAGTAAAATTTGACTACATGATTTGCCAATCACTAATTCATTTTATTTTTGCAGTTGACATGTCTAGAATACATGGTATTGAGTTTTCAAAACTACATTTTGGTCATTTTCATGCACTAGTAGATCATTCTCTACTTTGTTGAAAAAAAATAGGACCAGGATTCTTATTTTTCAAGAGTATTTTTTAAAATTTATTTTATAACTTAAATATGTCATTTAATAATATTATATATTTTTAAAATTTTATATACATTAATATAGGGTGCATATCCTAATACTAGTTCATATTAACAGCAGGAAGTTACATTAAAGAAAGAGCAAGAGCACAAAAGAAAATAAGAAAATCAATTGTCAAGAGTATTGGGTAATGAGTAGGTGCGAGTTGTGGAAATAAGTTGGGAATGTGACTCGAATTCGAATCAGATCATCTGCAGTGCAGCAATGGCAACCCTGATGTATCACATGTTCTCCTCGTCTGCACTGCTATCACTCGGACTCTACCACCTCATTTCCACCACCCGAAACCACCACCTCAAATCTCCTCGCGGTGACTACACCGCCAAACCCTACCACCCCATCTCCGCCTTCTCCTCCCGTCTCCGCCACCTCCCTTTATATCTCCTCCTCCTCTGCCTCCTCATCTCCTTAATCCACCAATCCTTTATCTCTTTCGACGCCGATCCTCTCCTCAAAGGCCGCACTCCTGTCCACCGCTTCACCTCTCTCCAAGCCGCCGCCGTCATTTTCTCTTTCCTCCTCTTAACCCTCGCTATCCTTATCTCCGAGTCAACTTCGCTCCTCCCGCTCCCTCCCGATCTCTTTTTTGCCCTAGCATCGGCACTTTTCTACCTCCACTACTCCGTCTCCTCAAACTCCGCCTCTGTTCAGACCTCCGATCTTCAAGCCAAGTGCGATTCCGTTTCCGCTAACATTTCCTTACTCTCCTCTCTTCTCTGTCTCCTCATCGCCTTTCAACCCAGGCTCTTCCTCGCTGACGTGGCGCTCGCCGGTTCAATATGTCTACAGGGTCTGTGGGTACTACAGACGGGACTTTCGCTCTACGTTGATGCTTTTATACCTGATGGTTGTCATAAGCTGTTGGATGTTGTGACTGGAGTTGAGGGATCTACGAAGTGTGATCTTGAAGATTCTAAGCTCAGGGCTGTCGCTATCCTCGATTTGGTCTTTGTGCTCCATGTGCTGTTTGTGTTGCTCGTCGTGATTGTTACTTATGCTGCTGTTGCTAAAACTGTTGGTATCAGGAGATTTGGCTCTTATGAGGCACTGCCCAACCCCAGCACTGCCGACTCCAATCATATACAGATGAAGGCTTTGACCGGAACTCAGGCTTGATCATATATTTCTGCACTGCACTAGGTATCATCCTTGCTTGTGGATAATGAAAACATATATTGTAAAGAACTACACTACTTCTAGTCTTCTTATGATCAGTTCCCTTTTTTTTACTTGAATGGGGGTTAATGGTTCTAGAAACTGCCAAATGTTGCATAAACAATAATGCAAATAGCAAAAGTTTATGACTTAAGGTCACAAAAAAGAAATCAATATTCACCTAGAAGAACTTGAATGATGAAAGATGTGTTAAGCACATAAGGGAAACAATTGAAGGAAATGATGGTGAAATGTAAGAGAGATACATTGCTCAATATATATGATGTTTTTAAACACAATATATCAAGCAAATCTACTGCTTTTAATTACTTTGAAAGATAAAAAACAATTAGATTATTCATAGTACTTGTTGGAAAAGAAAAAAAGAAAAGACGATTTTCCAGATTAATTATCTGTATTCTGTATTGGCCTTTGACATGGTTGTGCTGAGTGTTGGTTAATGTGCGTTCCCTCGGTACATGCTTTATTGAATCTCCTAGTTGGCCTTTTTTAAAATTTAACAAATGCCCTTTTTTTCTCTTCTCTAATTCTTCCTTCTCTCCATTATTTACGGGCGCATCCTCCAAAAAAAGAATTCGTATAAAGAAAACGAGTGGACCAACCGGACTTGGTGGTGCGATGGGGGCAAAACTGTGTGCGCTGGGGGCAAAACTGCGTCGGTTGATACTGGATGATAGGTATAGCAAATTTAGTACATCACAGATCCATGGACCTGTATTTACAGATACACATACATGATATAGGAATGGCTCAATTGTAATTGCCTTATAAAGCTTAGGAAATTCTTATACTTCTTGGGCACCCTGGAGTCTTGTTAAACATCTATTCTCCTATTTCTCGCATATATCATTTTTAAACTCTACTATACCTTCATTGGAAGGGTTAAGTATTGTACATTTGCTTGGGAAAGAGTCTCTCATTTACCATCTTGGTTCATATTATTCCGAGCTACATTCACTCCAAGGTTGATGATGATTCAATTATTCTGATCTGTATGTATTCAGGAAAGAGTGGGTTTGACCTCCGTGGAGGATAAGATGTGGGAAGTGAGGTTGAGATGGCTCGGGCATATGAGCAGGAGATGCACTGATGCCCTAGTGAGGAGGTGTGGGAGGTTGAATATTGGGGGTTTGAGGAGAGGTAGAGGGAGGAGAGGTAGAGGGAGGCCAAAGAAGTATTGGGGGAGGTGATTAGGCAGGACTTGGTGCTTCTTCGGCTTACTTAGTACAATGACCCTTGATAGGAAGCTGTGGAGGTCGAGAATTAGGGTGGAAGGTTAGTACGTAGTAAAGCTTGCTTCTTGTCCTTACCGGTAGTTGTAGTATTACTCTTATTTTATCTTATTCTTGGATGTCTATCACTATATGGTTTTGCTTCTGCTTCGGTTTTGTTACTATCTCGTGTTTATACTACTTTTCCATGACTTTTTCATTACTATATTTCTTTTTTTTTTTTAAATTACTGCAATTATGCTGGCCTTAACCGGGGGTCTATCGTAAATAGCCTTTCTACTTGCACACGGTAGGGGGTAAGGTCTAGGCACACACTACCCCAACACCCTACTTGTGGGATTCCACTGGGTTTGTTATACCCCTATAGAAGATCATTTTTTGCTTCACCTGTAAACCAACTCGTTTGAGGGAATGATAATTGATGAGAATTCCTTAAGGACAATTTCAGACCAAAGATTCGCCCGAAAATTATTTATCTGGATCCGCCTTTTTAATCTGTTTAGTGCGCTTTCTGCGAAACATTGCTGCTGAAATTTGGAGGCTTGATGAGGACACGGAAAGATTTCCCGAGCAAATGTTTGGTGGCTGAATTCAAGAGAGGAAATGATAAAGCTTCAATGAGTATCTATTTCAAAAATTGGGCCAAGGATACCTGGAGACTGGCAGCAAATATAAAGTTGACAGAGTAGCTGAAGCAATAAAAGCCAAATACTGAGGAAAATTTTGGAAGAGTTGGTTGGCAAGCTGCACGACCCGAAGCTCCTCTTTTGCCTCTTCTATAATAGTTGTAATATATACCGTACCTATATTTACACATACACATACATGATATAGGAATGGCTCAATTGTAATTCCCTTATAAAAGCTTAGGCAATTCCGGAACTTCTTGGGCACTCTTGAATCTTGTTAGACATCTATTCTCCTATTTCTAGCATCTATCATACTGAAACTCTACTATACGTTCATTGGAAGTGTTAAGTGTTGTACATTTGCTGGGAGAGACTCTACTACTGCCAATCATGACATGATATTCTGGTTTGTTGCGAGAATGGGATTGTAGAAACCTTAAAGAACTTGAAGAGCTTATCACAGGGTGCTATCTAAGTTCTATGCAGAACTGGGTACACCCACAATTCTTCTTGGAGGGTTTTTTGGTCAGTCGAGTGAACCTGACAAAATATACCTCTGCCTATTATAGGATCACCAACCGAAGTTGCGTGAGAGGTGTTCTCTTAGTTCATGAGAAGAAACAGAAAGATGTCACATCAGGTAGGAGATTATAACAGAACTAAAGAAGAGCTTCGTCTATTAGTAAAAAAGGGATCAGTGCATCCTTGGATTAAGCAAATTCTACCCCTATTGTACGAAATTTGTTTGCTCGTAATGAACTGCCTAATCAAATGGGTATGGTAAATGTTTCTTGTTTAATACTTATATTTCCAATTTTATTACGACCTGTGTGTGGTACTGATACACTGTCTGATCTTTAGTTCTACGGGCCGTCAAAATTTTAAGTTTTGAGATTGAGATAAAACAGAAACAGTAGTTCACCTTGGCCTTGAGCTAAATCTATGGTTGCTAGTTTGGCGTATTGTTCACTGAGTTAATAAAGCTATTCCAGCTTGTATACAGCCCAAAAATTGGTGTAACCCTTCAATATAGAAATAAGCATTAATTTGGTTATTTTTTGTGTTGCCCCTGTTTTGGATGCTTCAGAAGTTTAAAAATACTTACTTGGAAGACAGGAGGGGTGCTTTTTATTAATTTAAGCAGGATCAAACTCTTAATAGCTCTATAAATAGCTCCTTTTGATAGTTTGCAGCCTGGGTAGAGTTCACTTGTAGCAGTGCAAACTTCAGACCTCGGGTCTGAAGTTAACTTGTAGTAGCGCAAACTTCATACCTGAGGTCTGAATTTCATTTATAGGAATGCAAATTTCAGACCTCGGGTATTTTTCCAATAACGATCTCTGGTAATCATAAAACGTTGTGCCAAAACTGCACACCCATGGCGTGACCACCTGTATCCATTTATATGCAGCAATGGGTGCAGCAGGTGGAAATGCCAAAGCTGAACTTAGTCACAACTGGAACAATCATGCTCTTTCTTATGCCTCCTACAAGTTTGGGTCACAAACTAAAAGCATCACAGAAGAATGTTAATGTGTATACTTTATCTGTCTAAAAGCATTTGGATGTGGCAATATAACTCTAAAACATCTATTAAAGATACGTTGACTTCTGGTTGGCTTAGTTCTGAAGGAAAAAAGAGAAGACCAGCTAAACGTTTTATAGTTGATGGAGTTTTGGGTTTTACTTGTGATGTAGCTAATGCTATCCTGCTGCCTTTGGATCTTATTTTGCCTTCCTTAACTCATTGAATCTGGTGCATATCCTTTCAAAGGTTCGTAAATCTTTCAGAACTCTATAACTACTAGTGTTAAATCTCATGTCTGCAGCCTTCTTTTTACTGGATAGTCAATTGAAATGTGTAAAAACACAATCGTTTTTATAGACAGTGTCTTCTTATGGTCATGAACTTCGCCTTTGTGAGGGTATGAACTTGTAGCAGTGCTAACTTCAGACCATGGTTGCATAGTCAGGGAGTGTAGTTTATGCAGGCTCTTGGTGTTCTTGTTATCCATTTATTTCCTAATTTTCAACGAAGTACATTCCGTATGTTTAACAAGGCCATATTAATAGATGAAAGGGAGTGATTGCTTATTGTGGTCAAACCATATTGGTTTGTGTCAGTGCTGCTATTCGTATTGCATTTGTAAATGAATGTGGTTATGATTAGCAATCACATATCATTCAATGATCTTTAGTGCATCTGGGATTGCAGAGTGGTGGTCTCTTACACTTGATGAAAACATTTGCAGGAGATTAGTAGAAGATGAGCTCCATGATCGACACAAGAACTCCATAACATAAGTAGGGCTCCAGGTATCTCCGGTGATTGACTGTAAGAGTTGAAAGGGCTTTACTACTGCGAAGCCATGGTATGGGAGATGGGGGTATTTTTGTCCAACTTTTAGTTACTTATTACAAAGCGGCTAAACTTTAAATAGCTATTAAATTCCGGCTTGGTTTTAAACTGTGGTCTTAAAATAGGCTATTTGTGCACTTCCCCCGACAAATTCTTGGATCAAGTGATCAAGCCCTAACCCTTCTGTCCAATATTTCTTTGCTCGTAATGAACTGCTTGTAGATTCAAATGAGAGGGAAATATTTTTTAATTTCCTCTTACATACTTGTACCTCCATTTGATTATGACATGTCTAACCCTTTAGTTCTACAGATTCTTTAATGGTTTCCTGTTTTACATTGAGATTAAATAGAAACAGTAGTTGACCTTGGCCCTGAGTTAATTCTCTCCGGTTGCCTGTTTGGCGCATTGTTCATTGAGTTTATAAATATATTCCAGCTAGTATTAACAGCGTCAAAAATTGTTTTACCCCTCTTTTGAAGATAAAAAGTGGGGTTTGGCATGGATCCCTTTCCGGTAAATCAACGTCCAAAAGTGAAATAAATGAAGTAGAGGGACAAACTTATTCCTAAGAAAAATTGAAGGAAGAACAATATCAATCCTTTAAACTTAGACAAGTGTGCTTGTTTGTATGGTGAGCTTCTAGGCGAGTTCCCATCTTCAATAATATGCATGTGATGCTATATATCAGTGAGTGTGGGAGGACTCCCCCCATTTACAAAAAATATTACGTACAACACAGCTAGGGGTATGGTTTTCATGAATTTTCAATAAGTAGTTTTTTAATCTCAAATCAGAATGCAGGGAAACCCCTCTTGTCCAGTCGGAATTGAGCATTGGTTTGGTCATATTTCTTTTTGCCCTTGTTTAGGATCCTTCATAAGTTTAAAAATTCTTAAATCGAAAGACAGAGGGCTGCTTTTACTTGAGCAGGATCAAGTTCATTATTGCTCTGTAAATAGCTCCTTTCGATCGCCTGCAGCTATCAAGAAATGAGAATTGCACATCGTGTAGTTTTTTCTTTGTTCAATAATTTTGGGCTGTGAACCACTTGCACAGCTTCATGAGAACCTTTTGCATGCAATCATCTAATTTTCTCATATACCATTAGGATGCGAGTTTCCATTCTCTTTCCTCTTGATCTTCTTAATAATGCTATGAAGTATGAAGTTCGATTGGCACAACTGGTTTCAGACTCGTAAAACCTTGACATATACAAACTTGTATGTGCAGAAGGTCACAAGGAAAATAATTATCTATTCTGTCGCAAAATAAACATTCAATTCGGTGTTTTCGACATATGATTAAACAGATAAGAGTGAGGCAATTTGTATATGGAAGTCAACCGCCTAAAACTTTGGCCATGATTTTTTCAGATAAATGTTTCCTATATTTTGAAATGAAAAAGAAATTTCAAACAGTTTTCTTGTGCTCCTAAATCTCTAAATAGGAAAAAAGAGAGAATCTAAATATCTGTCACATATACTTGTTTACAGGATATGAAGTATGCAATTTTTTGCTGTTATTTAGTAATATCGGGTACGAATTATACATATACTCGATACTCTTGTATGTCACAAACTTTGGGACATGAGTATATCAAAAGAAATGAAGGATACATGTAAAATAACTAATTTCCAAGCCCAAGTCCAAAAATTGGTCGACTACATTACTGAAAACCCTGTCCTGATTGAAATGATAAACAACACTATAATTCAATTCAAGCACCGGGTCATCAACCTAATTGATATTTAATAAATTTTACCTATTATTGGATAAACCAATGACTTCAGTCGTTAGAAAGTGGTACTCTGGCACCGAGATACTCTAGCCACCGAGTTAAGTATGTCATTTATCATCCCAAGGAGAACCAAAAGATTGTTCTTCCATGATACCCGTTTGAAAGCTCTGATTATCAGCATGCGACCGAGTAAATCCTCTCATTCCCACTTCTTCGTCAATTAAAACAATATTCCTTTTTTACTTTTAGTATTTTTAAAACAATCACAATCCTACCATTATGCATAAGTTTATAGTATTAGCGTTCTTATGGGAAAAGACAATAGAAAGCAAAATAAACATATTTCTGTTCGATAAGTTACGTATTTGAAATGCCTGCCAACACTTTCCAGCAAATAGTTTCATAGCTCGAGGGATTGAAATACGACATTTTACAATATGACAGATGTTCTCTGAAAGCTCTCCTCTTTTGTAAAGACACCGTTGAATCATTTCTATCCCCGTAACCCACCCTCCTAAAGGACTACACGCCAGCACTCAAAGCTGTTCCATAGTGCAATAGTTAGGTGAAGAGCTCATGAATTACACGAGAGATTGCCCAAAATTAAGAATAAGTGGTTAAATATCATGATGTCAAATGAGAATTGCCCATAGGCTAAGCACTCTTTACCCGTACCAAGAGAACGATAGGCACCTCAACATCAACATACTACTACTTGCAAGGTAAAACAGCAAAATTGAATTTTTCACAATCTGTGGACTAGATATCCGATATAGTTATATCACAAATAATTTGTCCTACAAAAAGATTGAAGATAGCTAGCCTCTTTCCCGTGAACACTTTCCTCACATTTATAGGTTAACAAAATCAATCTATCTAAATCAGGCAGATTTCAACTTGGCAGATGTGGACGCCAGATGTGAAAGGGTTCTGTGTCCCACGAATAGTAAGAATATCCCCAAGAATCCAAGCACTCTCAGTGTTTGGAACAGATTCCACTGCAAGCAGAGAGGCAAACAAATATGTTGAATTAGCACGCAAGACTATGTCTCTGTCTAACAAATAAATCTACATGCCGAATTTGAGCCTTTCACAGACTTCTAAAGGCACTGAACACCCAGCAGGTTATTTGGAATTGCAAAATTCCCTAATTGTCAATTGCAAAAAGTTAAGGTATGCAAAGGAGCCTTATCCAGTTTTCCATCTCTGTCTCTGCTTAGGGGAGACTGACCTAGCTTTAATCTTTACATGAGAAACACAGAATATAGAAGGCCGTCAGAAATAAATTGTGCAGAATCATGACTAACTAGTTGAAGAAATTTTATGGAAGCCAAACATACTGGTGATTATGTGAGTGTTGAAAAAGGATAGCTATAGCCAAAGACTTTAGATGCTTCCGCTATAGCTATAAATTTCAACAATCTAAAGTGGTAGTCCTGAGAAGGCTACTTGTCAGTTGTCAGTTGTCACCAGCGTCAGTGGGGGCAAAAGAACCAATATGATATTTAAGGTTATCTTTTGATCAATGCACTGAATCTTATATCAAATCATTCGTAGTGGCATAAAGTTCAAAGGAAGTTGAACGTCAAGCAACAGAACACCAAAATTAGAAGAAAAGCATCGCTAAGTTAGATTCTTCTCAGTTAATTAATGCGTTTAGCAATTGAAGGGCGAAGTGCAGCAATGGCCACTTTTAAGCCCGCTATTTAAAATATATCCACAATTTACAATGTATTTAAAGATTAGCCAATTCACCCAAACTTCAGGACTAAATATCCTGAGTTGAAGTCCTATAACTAATTTTGAGGATTGGTAAGGCTATCCTTTCAAAAACTGAACTGAATCACCAATGTTCTATCAACCAGTAAATAGAAACTCAACGAATGGGAGAGAAAAAGAAAGGGAACGACACCTATTCCCTTGCTATCTAACCTCCCCATGTTTGCTAAAACTAGAGAGTAAAAGAAATTAGACATAAATTCTTTTTAAATATCATAAGCCCTTACTCCCAACCACTACTAAAACTGGGTCTTTGTGACCAGTAGTGAAGCCGCTTTTGCAGGAAAAAAACATAGTAATGATGTCGAGATAGCCACCAAAAAAAAAACCATACCTGCAACCAGAATAGAACATAAAGTGATAAAACAGCTGCAATGAGGAGGTGGAAAAGAATGGCAAACATTGCAGGCCCTGATGCTGTTGGGAAGTTCTTCAGGTTCACATGCAGCCTCAGAAGCTTCAGAAAAACATGAAAGCATGATAAATTAACCACAAGAAACAAAATCCAGTGCCGATGAAAGTCCTGCTTGTGCAACTTACTGCTGCTACAATGAGCAAAGTACCTCCTATTTCAAAAAATATCAACTACCCATCACAAATTATAAGTTTTTCATAAATGTATTAATGTGCGACTAATAGCACTGAGGTCAGGTGCACCCAAGGATGTAGCCCCGTGGTCGATGAAGTGAGTTGAGAACCATGAGGTCTCACGTTCAAATCCAAGTGGAGGAAAAAACACTAGATGAATTATTTCCATCTATCCAAGCCTTGGTAGACAATGCTATCTGGTACCTGTGCTGGTGGGAAGTAACAGGGTACCCTGTGAAATTAGTCGAGATGCACGCAAGCTGGCCCGGATACCACAATAGAAAAAAAAAAATTAAACACAAAAGAGGCATTATAGACAAGGGAGAGGATGCTAAGCTCCACATTCGAGCCTAGGAAAACCAACCAATTCAAATGGAATCGATCATACAACAATTATCTCACTTTTTAATTAATGGTGTTGTCCTGGCCAACTTGCACATATTTCAACTAATCTACCAGGTAACTTTGTATGGTACCGGGTGGACAGTGGAAAGAAATCATCTAACTTTTTTCACCTATACTAGGACTTGAACCCACAACTATTCTCCTCTATACATATGATTTTTCTTTTAGAATGTGGGAAGGGAGGCGATACTGCTATCATTACTTTTAACTTATTTAAAAAAAGAAAATCAACCATGATTTAGAGGAAACCTACCCCAACCAAAAATCCAAGGAATGGAAGAAGAACAAGGGCCAGAAAGGCATAAGAAAGGTCCCTAGGAGGTCTTTTCTCTGGAACCCTGAATACGTGAGCGATTTCTGCCTTGGGCCCAAACCTTGAGGAAGGATCAACAGCTTGAGGAGGTGGGCGAGCTGCCTTCTCTGGAGGCTCTGGAAAATCTAATTCAACAGAACCCAAGGGTTGCAAGAACGAGTTCTCCTGGAGGAAACAAAATGCCCAGCTCAAGATGCCAGATAAAATATTCATCAAAATACAGATGTCATAAGAATAAGTTTCTTTACTGCGTGTTTCTCCAAAAACTTGACCAAAAATGTGACACTGTGTAGCTTTAATGAAGCTAGAATCAGTACATACCATTACAGCATCTCCGACAGTAAGTTGAATGTCATATCTACCTGATAGATAGAAAAACTTTTCAACTAGTCCAAGGAAATCCTACAGACAGAACGCCATTCAAGTATTCACTGGTTAGTGCGTTTAGAGATTATTAAAATTGGAATTAGAGGCAACTGCACATATTTCTTTCTTCTTGGAATTGGAGATTTGAACTCACAAACACATCCACGTTATGTTAAGTGGGAGCAACAGAGTACAGAAACGATTTCAGGAACTTACTAGTATTATTTCGAATTGTTTTCCAGAATTCCCTACCACAAAGATATGGTCCACCTTGCTCTCATGTCTCAACTTGAGGAAAGCCTGCAGACCAGATCTTAAGTCCACCAACTGTGGATGATAAAGAGTTATTCAACAGATAAGTCAGGCTCCCAACCTGGTGTGGCTTAAAAGAATGCCCAAGAGGAGACGTCAATTGAAATGACAACCGTAGCTTTTGCAGATGGTTTGCTGATAGAGAGATGGCATTCTCCCCAGCGAAATCAAGTCTGTACGAAACACCCCAAGAAATGATAAACTATCAAAAAGTTCAAGTGATATGATAGGTAGCATTAAAATGAGGTGGAAGACAATCAAGCAAAACCAGACAATCAAGCAAAACCAGACAACATGTATAAGTTGTCAATACACACTTGATGCTTGTGCCAAATTAACCTGGTAGTCGTAGGCAAAGAGTTGCCCATGTGACAATCAATAGAAAACAATTAAGAAACTTTATTTCCTATAAAAAAAAATAGCAGTTGAATATAATTAAAAAAAGACAAACGATATTCTGGCAAACAATGTGAGGTAGCAACAAAATGGTAAATTGATTTTACAGCCTACATAGATCCAGTTCAGCTGTCAGAAGTAAATTAAAGGCAACTAAGTACAGCAAGTAAAGTGAATCAAAAGCTAGCCCATTCTTAAAAACTTTACAAAAGAAATATAGTAATGAAATAGTTTTAAAAACAAGAGGAAAAGAAAAAAGATATTTGTGTCTATGGTCCGTATTAAATATTCGCACTAGCACTTATCTAAACAGAAACAAGTTCACTATGACCATGATTATAAATAACTAATACATGAAAACAATAGGTCAAAAGACATCAATGACTAGAAAAGGAATGTAGTCTTCAAAAATATGTCATAAAGGAGATAAAAGGACAAGAAAGAAAAGGGCATACTTTTTCCGAGTTTCAGCGTTTCCAATATCATTGTCAAGTACAGCAATCTCTTCATTATCAACTTTGATAGCTCCTGTAATATATATGGGTACTTTTGTTCTTCCTCCAGTGGCATAGATTGTTTTATGATCTGAATCATGAAGCAAAACCTACAATATCATCAAGAGCAATGCAAAGGTAAAATTGGGCAAATTCAAATCGACTTAGGAAGCAAACTTCTATTAGGTAAGAGAAGGAGATGCATACCTCAAAAGAGAAAGTGTAACTGCCAACATCAATGTCTTTGGGCAAAGCATCTAAGTAATGTACAGCATTTTTATGGTCAAATTTGAGATCCTGTACCATGGGGATAGACAAAATATTCACAAAGTTAAGGGACAGTCAAGAGCTAAATCTACTTCAAAAGAAAATATTAACAGCTACATATGATGCACTAGATCACAAACAAAGCCACTTAGCACCTGATCAATAACAGAGGCATCCTTTGAGCCAGAGCTAAAAATCTGCTTGAGTTTGACTGTCAGAGAAGGTGCAGCAGAACCCAGAACAGTGTTTACATTTACCTAGTTGGAAGAAAGATAACAGTCCATCAGTTTCAGATCTGCTGGCAAAACTTACTAGACCACTAAGATAACCAGATAAATGATACAAGAAATCCTTTCTTACATATCTCCTCATAGAAATCACCGTTTAAAAAGGCACACTTGATTCACGCTTAAGCATAGAAACTAGTGGCTAAGAGCTTTGTCTAGCTTATACAGCACTTTAGCGATGGCACTGAGGGGTGTGTATAAGCAAAAACAAGTAAACCAACTGCTTTTTTGGAAAAAGAACTAGATTAATTTAAAAAGACACATGAGCTCTGCTTGAGAAAGGCAGCATTACACACCAAAAAAATCTAGTTTTTACATCTGAATTACAAACATTTTTTCATCATAGAAATTATCTTTTTTTATTCATAAAGCAAAGTTAATAGCTAAGCAAGCTGAGTGCTTTGTCTAGCTTATACAGCACTTTAGCGATGGCACTGAGGGGTGTGTCTAAGCAAAAACAAGTAAACCAACTGCTTTTTTGGAAAAAGAACTAGATTAATTTAAAAAGACACATGAGCTCTGCTTGAGAAAGGCAGCATTACACACCAAAAAATCTAGTTTTTACATCTGAATTACAAATATTTTTTCATCTTAGAAATTATCTTATTTTATTTATAAAGCAAAGTTAATATGGTATTAGACGTGAATCCCATAGTTTTGACTTGATGTACTTATTAGCAGTATTTCACTTCCTCCACCCTTATAGTTGGCTTTTCTTTTTCAGTTATTGTATGTTTTTTTCTTTATGTGCATTTTCTACTTAAGCACGTTATTTAGTTGCACTTTGCTTAAAACAGCATCAGATTTGGATGCTTTTCGCTTTTCTGTGGTTTCAGCCGAAGCCCAATTCTCATGCTGAGCATACTCTGTCCAGATTTTATTCTTGTAAATCTCTACATCTCAAATTATCACTAAAGAAACACCCAAAACTGGAAAACAGAGTCTCAAAGATTTCATAGTCTAAATCCGAAGTGTACACACTACACACTACCCTCCCCAGACCCCACGGTGTGAGATAATAGTGGGTATGTTGTAGTTGTTGTGTAAACCCGAAGCATCACACTGAAGGGTAATGTAGTCAGAACTCAAGAGAATGATATCAAAAGTGACACCTTAAGCTGGTTCTTTCTAGTCAATGAGAGCACACTGGCCGGGAGTGATAAAACCAATGGAATGGAGACCCTGCATTGAAAAGAAATGCTTGATATGTAAGTAATGAAATGGCGCTGGACTGCTTGCTGAAAAGATGCTTCATCTGAAGTTACCAGCAAAAACACAACACTTAACAGAAATGAACAAATGCCCAAAAAGTCAGAAAAAGGGAACATGGAGTATATTTGCAACCTCACCTATTGTTTTCTAAGGAAGCCAATGCATCAATTTGATAATACAAGTCCTTTGCATTTCCAGGAACTCCAGCACCAAGGAGAAACCTTGCTAAACCTAGAATTTTGTCACCTGGAAGCTGCACATTATAAGGAAAATATTATCAAAAAACAACTCTCATAATACTGGAGAAACAAATGCCACGTACTACACCGACATACCTGTAATTTTTCAGCAGACACTGCGGCAAAAGCTGTAATCCCACGCACTACAGCAGACGAAGCTGAGAGGGGACCCTGATGTCCATGAGCATCAACAAGTTTTTCATCAAAGTAATAGGCCCCATCGTCTGTAATATGATATAACAATAATATATTTGTTTCAGAATGACCTCATTTACCATTGTCTGACTAGATAATCCACAGAATCAGCTGTAAGTAGGCTAAAAGTGAACCATTTGTTCATGAGCTACCTCTTCAACTGATTAGCCCCTCAGAAAAATACAGAACAGTGTGATAAAGAATCAGTAAACGTGTCAGAAGTTCATAATGACAAAAGGTGACATGGTTTTAAACAATCAAATCGCCTTCTCTTTTGTCTATTAAACCATTGCCCAAGAAAATATATCTAGCTTTCCGTCTTTCGAAACCGGCTCATGAACCTCAGTTTTTTCCCAAGTCAGGACTAAAGACATGCAAATTTTGTTTATGCATTATCATCTCTTCACAATAAGAAGACACAACAGAGCTCTTCGTAAGCTTCTCTCCATCAATTGATTGACTAAAATAGGGGTCGTCTTGTTATTGGGACTAGAAAAATAAGACTGTATAAACTTTGGGATTATTTTATAGTGAGTTTGGTTGGCATTTCCATTTCCGGTATAAGTAATATCGATAGCCTTATACTTCAATTTAGACATTATTTTACAGCGAATCCAACATGGGAAAACACATAAAGGAATTAGCTTTCCTCATAAAAGACATATAAGAAACAAAAGACAAATCTACCCTTAGTTCATTTTTCTATTTTTTAATTTATTTACTTCAAAGTAAAAAGTAAAATTGCAAAAAAAAAAAAAAAAAAAAATTAAAAAACTTGAGATCAAACACATGTTTTAAATTATACAATGTATATCCCTTTTTTAATGCGATGAACCAAACCTCCCCCAAAAAAGCATATGTACTATATATCCAATATTATAATCCCAGTATTATATACCCTACATAACTTTGTCCATGAACCAAACAGCCCCTGAATTTAATAATGTACCATTCTCATAAAGATGCTAGGTTCATACATAACATAAAAAGGTGAGTACCTTAAATATCTTAAAACGTATACACATTGTCATAAAATGAAAATGACTGCAAAACTTTCTGAATTCAAATTATTGAGGAAACATAAACAAGGCCCAAGGGCACCATAACATCTTGCACTTTTGTACTTTGTTAAAGCACTTTCACCTGAATCATAGGTATTCGACAAACCACAAGTAAACCCTACCCAACTTTTACTTTTCTGAAACTAATATTAATAAACTATACGCAACGGCTTAACTAGTACATTTCTTTTTTATTAAGGATATGAAGAAAGAGAAACAATAAAAAAAAATTAACATTCATCTTGATCATCTAATCTGACAACCAATCACAAATCCATTTATACTTGTATGGATTAAAATTTTCTTATATGGACTAGATATTTTTATTGGCGTGAGATATGTTAAAGCTGAATGCAAATGCTATACTTTCTTACATTCTCTATGCAATGGCATGGACCCTTTATTTGCAATATCTAATAGTTGGCTAGGTATATGTCGCAAAGAACATTTGAGTAAATCATCATAAGTTTCATTTATTAGAGCAGGAGAAACTTTTGGCATTTCTGTTATCAACTGCCACTCCCACCAGCTCACAAAAACAATAAAAAGAAATGAGGAAAGAAACAAAAGAGGTGCATACCATATTTCTCCAGACCATCGAAAAGCTTCGATATATCATCTTTCACCATGCTAATCTGCCAATGCAGATAAATATGAGGTAGAATACAAATTATCTAAAAAAAACATTACAGAAAATAATGTACGAATAAACAAAAATCAGAAAACTAATTGTGTTATGTATTACTACTTAGCATGCAAGAACTTTAGCATGTAACATGACATAATGGCCAAACTCAGCACAGCCTAGACACACAGCCAAAAGCAACTTCAAATGAAGTAACACAAAATGTTGGTCTTTTTATTTTTTGATAAGTGACACACAATGTCAACACAATGACTTTGATGTCCGCTTTATCTCCTGAACGCACTTCGAATCCAAGAAATAGATACTTATTTCCTCATCCTTTTTTTAAAGAACTAAAAAGAAAACAAAACTAAAAAAGATACAGATCTCACTACCAAATGAGATGAATAAAAAAAGTTCTTAATCCGTTTAGACACCTCTTTACACCTGCAGATTTTATAAACCCGAAGGATAAGGAGGGCCCCCCAAGATGGTTTTTCTTAGTCATCAAATCTCGAACATGTAAACTTGTTAAAAAAATGAAACTTGGGTCTAACTCTACCAGAAACTCTAGCGCAAAAGGTGAGACTAAATGAAGAGATAATAACACATTCCCTCAATCTTTTAACAACTCTACCCCCCCCCCCCCCCCCCGATCATCCAGGATTGGATATATGGAGCTTGGACAATATAATATGGGAGCCTCACATTGAGTGAACTAAGAATTGGAATAGCTCTGACTCTAATATGTTAAGAAAATGAAGTTGGGCCTAACCAACCCAAAAGCTAGCTCATTAGGTGAAGATTGCTAAGATTACATAAAGACAATAACCCATTCCCTCCACCAACGTTGGACACTTAACAAACTTAAACTCGCATTTAGTGACACAAATATAGCTACAAATGAAATATATCCAAGTATAACCCATTTTAGTAATAGTTGTCACTTGTCAGCCATCTGACATTTAATGCATTTCTTCTTGATGCTCGTATCAGGGTAGGCTGCATATATTAAACCCCTGGGGTGCAGCCCTTCCCCAAACCCTGCGTGAATGCGGGATGTTTCATGCACCGGGCTGCCCTAAGTCTAAATGATTTCATTGATATTGCACCTAGTCGGTGCCATTGAACAAAAAGCATGGATCTATTAGGAGTTATTAGGAGGACTTGGGAGTGAAATTAAAAGTAAAGTGTTTTACTTGTTGTTATTAGTACGGGAAAAGGGAAGTGTAACCACATTTGAACAAGGCACCAAATCTTGCTTTCTTCGCCAAGTCAGCTGGTTTACACTGTGTTTAAATGAGAGTTTCTTTAGTCCAGTTTGAAGTAAATTGCACTTGTTTTTGTTGTTATTGCACATGATATGTGATTATTTGGAATCTATATTTGCTTGATGCTTCAAATGACTTATTGGTGTGTGATGAATAGTAACAAGGTTCTGTTGTTTTTGGAAAGATATGCTGCTGGAGAAGGAAACTTGTCAACTAAAGAAATCAGTATCGGGCATGGAAAAAGATTACTGAAGGCGTTAGGGCAAAAGAACAACATAGTGGCATGAAAGAGCAGAAAGAAAGGAACAAATTTCAGAGACGTATAGCGCCTAGGTACAAAGATATTGAGAGGCTTAGGGCCTATCCTCTGTAGCATGTGGCAATGTAGCGCTTCAGCTCTATCCCATGTCCCATTATTAACAAAATTGTCATTCATCCGCATATTTAAAGAATTCTTCACTATTAGATCAAGGGTTTCAAACTTTAGGCAAGAAACTGAAGAGAGAAAGTTCTGAACAGAGGCTTCTCCAAGAGTGTTTTCTTCCACTTCCTCGGATGTTAACGAATATTTTTGGTATTTTTTGATGAAAAAATACGAAGAATATTCATTAACATTCTTGGTATCATCAAACAATACCAAGAATTTTTTCAAGTTTAGTGGTGAACTTAACTATTTCAACATGTATTTTAATTTAACTGCACTTTTATTGCTTCATATTAAATTTCAAACACTGATAAAGTAGGAGGATTATGGGGCAGCCAACATAAAACTAGCTAGAGATTTGAACATTTAGAAAATATTCAGAACTACTAATACTTGTTATTTGTATTTGCATAATACTTGGCATGAGATGAGTTTAAATGGAGTAACGTGGTCGGTGAGGATTCATATAGCCAACTCAACTTGTTTGCGACTGACGCATAGTTGTTAGTGTTATTGCTGTTTTTCTTTTTGTTTCTAGCTTTATATTCAATAAATATGGGTTAGTTATTCAATCTTGTACTTATTTATTTAACTGATTGGCCTGCAATTAGATCTTACAATGAACATGGAAAAGGGAGATTAAAATTAAACTTAAAGATTGAATAGCAGAGAATCATGACAACTAGATAATAAGGGTGTTTGATTTGTGTTAAGAATAAGACATGCCAACTCACATTATGTAAATCAAAAATTTGAACATGAAAACAGAGCATCTTAATCAACGTCATTTGCATAAGAACATGTAGAATAGGTTGAGGGAGATAGGATTGTAGACAAGGAAGATACATGCAAGTAAATTAATGACCAGGGTTAATAACCAAGTCCTTTAAAATCAAGTGTAGGAGATGCAATAGATTAATGAAATGTTCTCGATCAAAAATAGATTAATGAAATGTTCAGGAAAATCATAATTCTATGCCTTGATCCACTAATTTACGTAGCATTATCATTAATAGACATCAGTTAATTGGTAATTACATTAATAATGTAGTCTACACAATAAGATTGTATCAGTCTTGGTACTTAACAACCTTTGGTGCCAATTCTTCATTGGAACGATACTCTACTCCCTTAAATATTACTTGTTACATCATTTCTACTTGCATGTGTATTGGCCAGCAACATGTGCAGTACGTGTGTAATATTAAAGGCAGACAATCTTTGAAGGATTAGACGAATAATTGTGACTTAGTCCTGCTTGTCTAACGAGCCCAGAGAGGAGAAAGATCACCTCTTATTACATGGTACTCTTACATCACAACTATGGACCATGGTTTAAGTAGGAAGTTCTAACAATTGGCCCCCAATAAAAAAACAGTAACTTGGAGGACAACACCACTATGGCCTTTTTTCGCTTATTTGGAACGAAAGAAATAGACATCTATGCATTAGGAGTGTCAAAGAATGGCCAGTGTACTTGCAATGCACCAAAATTGTACTAGTAAAAGAAACCGATATAGGAAATTATCAACAAAAAGAATCCAATATAGCCATTTTGAAGGCATAACCATCAAGAGGTAAATGCAATAATATGATGGGATCTCCATGAAATGCAAGCACAATCCAACATGAATAGCAAAACAAAATCCGTCTTACGATGACTGTAGTATGAATTAAAATCCTCAAGGATGACAGAGGACAAATAGGACTCACCAAAGATTGATCAATCTCAGAAGAAGCTAATGAAATGATACCAGCCAGGCTCTCAAGTGCAATTCCTGTAAAAAGTGTTTTATCAGGAAAATGTAAACAATTTCCCGTGGCTTAGATAATGTGTTCTATCAGGAAATGATACCACTCAGACTCTCAAGTGAACTAAAAAAGTGTTCTTAATATGGTTTGACTTCAAAAGTTAATCAAAAACCTGAAAACAATTTGCTTCATCAAAAAAAAAAAAACTGAAAACAATTTCAGGTGATTTTAGAAAAACAGTTCTACTTTCTGGATTACCTTTACGAGTGGTTTTCAGGAAAAACAAAAGCTATTTTTTTTGTTTCCACAACATATTAACTTTGGGAAACTTAAAACAAGATTAACCTAAAATCACATCTAGTTGCCTCAATTTAACAAAAAAATACAATTTCAAAAAATATTTCCAGAAACGCTGCCTAAATACTTAAGAACCTTAAGGAGTAGTATTACAGAGAGTTGGCTCTTCTTTTTTTTCTTTTTTTGATAAGTATGAGACTTGGCTCTTCTAACATAAGAAAAAGATACAACTTCATCTACTCTACGAGAGTAATTGCCTGCAGCATAAGTGCTAGACTCGGGATTGTTGGAGCTATAGCGCCACCTTCCATCACTTTGGCTGAAAGCCTGTCAAAAATTTCAAATGTCATGCCAAACACCCCCATAAAGACAACAAAAAGTAAAAACTCCAGTTATAGTACAAATGCTAAATGCCAAACATAAAATGGAACCTTTATGGCGCGGAAAACTGAATCAGCACTTTCAAGATGTACCTCCACGACAGAACTTAGACCCTACAGAATGAATTATGGCATGTAAGAAACACAGAAATCACTCCTGACAAAATACAATGTCCTTATGAAGCACACAGAATAAATAAGCAGATCATGATATCTACGGATGTTACCAATTCTTAGCAAAAGGAAGAGCTATATTTAGATGCTTCTGCTTTCCTATTTCCGTTTTCATTTTTCTTTCTGTGAGGTGTTTGAGGGGGTAGGAGAGGATATCAGTTCCATTAGATAGAGTAGAAAAGAAAACAAGAGGCATTTCCCAATACATTACCTTGATAAGAACTAAACTTCCAACTGAGTAGTAGTAGTCAAGAAGTGAGCTGGCACTGTTCACAGCATCCTTAAGTCTTGGGGCTATGCCCTTGAGAGAGACAAAGCAAGAGAAGCAAGAGAAAAGTGAATATATGCATTTAAACTTGTTTCAATCAGTACTGGAAAAGTTCATCAAGTTTAGACATACTGCTAATGCTTTCTTGTTAAGCTCGCATTTCAGTATCCCATTGACTCTTAATGCCTGGAACAAATCTTTCAATGCTGAAGAAGAAGATGAAAGAGTGTCCACCACTGATGTACATGTAGAAGCCCTTATGTCAGACTGTTTTTCAATTCCAAGAACCTCGAATGTCCTTAAGGCTTCGTATGTTTTTTCTAGACTGGAGAGGCCACAGAAGCAACATTCAGACATGCACCATTCAAGTTTCAAGAGCACACAGTAACGCTAGCAAAAGAAGTTGCATAATGTGACAAGGACACTGAGGGATTTCCCCTTGAGTGCCATGAATGTTCTTCTTTCGAGTAGGTGAGTGTCAACTAAATGTTAACAAAGATAGTAGAATGCACAAAGGATATGTTCATCCGAAGCTCCTACAGATTCCGATAACAGCCTTTCCTGAAATGGCCAAACATAGTTTTCCATTCTCCTTATTTCTTGTTATGGAGCACTTTGCACAAAGACTTTCCAAATGAATACCCAGAGCTAATTTCCGACTCCCAAGAAACGGGTGAAGGAAGAATCAAATCAACAATGGGTTTCAACGATATTACCACCAAAAGGATAACGAAAACAATAACTACACGTCTCAGTCCCAAACAAGCTTGAAACGGCTATATGAATCCTTACTGATCACGCTACTCCATTTAAACTTATTTATGCCACTATTATGCAAAATACAAATAAAAGGTATTTGAAGTTCTGTATATAATACTGCCAAAAGGGTAGAGTGTCCTAAATCCATCTAGACAGTAGCATTTATCAGGTCCATATAGAAATGAGACCTGACCCAAACATTACAACTATACATCCAATGGTGTATTTACCAAAGACGAGTACACAGAATTCTGCATGCAATCAGTGGATGAAAGGATAGTAAGGATTCATATAGCCAACCCGAACTAGTTGAGATTGAGGTGTACTTTTCTTTGTTGCGCTTACTAAATAGGAAATATGGTGTTATAATGTGCAAAATATTTTCAGAGACAGATTGGGACGCAAACATAGTCTTCCCTCAGCCCTGATAAAGGAGAAGGGTTGAGGACCAATATAAATATAGTTTGAATTAGAGTTCAACTTAAATACACCATAAGTATAAGAAATTTTTACACCATCAGGTTTCTAGCAGGTAACCTGTCTTATTTTCAAGATTATAAATCTCACATTCTAAGAAAACTTACCTATAGATATTATTGGGGTGAGGTGTAAAAAATCATTTACACTGACAGTATATATAACTTAAAAGCATCAAATTATAGGATTCACATAGCTGACCTCAACTTGTTTGGGATTAAGGAATAGTTGATTGACTGAGAGAAAGAAGGGTTTTAGTGAGGGTTTAATTAAGCAAACCTAGAAAAAGACCCATGAGTTGGAGTAAACAACTCCAATGCAGCAGATCGGTGAGAATCGGAGATAGGTTTGAAGATAGCAGCTTCACAGATCAATGCGGACAATGCCAGCAGTACGACAAATCCTAATACTTTTGTCATTCCTGTAGAGAAACGATCAAACACAAAAAGAAAAAGGAAATTTAGCGAATAACAACATAGGACGTATCGAAATGGAAGTGAAAGGAGAGAGATCTTCGAGAGTTACTCGTAATGCGTTGGGAGGAACTTGTGAGTCTGCGCCACAGTTAGACCAAAGTGGAGTGTTGAATCATATGCAGAAATATTTGGTGCCATATTCCAAATATGCCCATTGTGTTTATGTTATTGCCCAACTACTCCTCTCTGGAGTCTCGGGTGACTCATTAATAGACCAAGCATGTGCTTAATATATTAGTGCTATTTGTATATCATGCCCCTATAATTTACAATTTAAGAAAATAATATTTTTAAATTTTTTATGCGTAAACGTGTAAAAATAAATTTCATATGTATAAAAAAAGGAGATAAGGTTATAAAATTAAAAATAAGTTTGTATGAAGCCACAAAACCAATTGACCCATATATTTTGTCTTACTATTTTTAGTTAGGATTTATTTATGTTATATACTCTAATTGTATAAACATTTATAACATTAGTGTAGTTAAATTGGAAATAATATGTTAGTTACAATATCTATCAGCCTACCAACTAATTATTATCATAAAATTATTTGTAATTATCTTAAAAGTTATGACTTGATAGTATAACTTATATGCCACATAACTTCGGTCACCTAATGTAACGACCCGGTCAGTCGTTTCGTGAATTATAGCCCTGTTTCCCCCATTTCTGCTTCCTTATGTGTTCCTCAGCTGTATTTCATCATATCGTGTTGGTTGGTTCGGGCCCGGAGTGGTTTTGGTGTGAAATGAGACACTTAGTCTCCTAATTAGAGGTTTAAGTTGGAAAAGTCAATCGGATGTTGACTTATGTGTAAACGATCTCGGACGTGATTTCTGATGATTCGGTTAGCTCCATTAGGTGATTTGGGACTTGGGAGCGCGCGTTCGGAATGTAATTTGGAGGTCCGTGGTAGAAGTAGGCTTGAATTGGCGAAATTGAAAATTTGGAGTTTTTCGGTCGACAGTGGAAATTTTAATATCGGGGTCGGAATGGAATTTCGGAAGTTGGAGTAGGTTTGTAGTGTCATTTGTGACGTGTGTGCAAAATTTCAGGTCATTCAGAGGTGTTTTGGTAGATTCCAGCATCGTTTGCGGAATTCAGAAGTTTAGTAGTTCTTAGGCTTGAATCCGAGGGTGATTTGGTATTTTGATGTTGTTTTGAGTATTCCGAAGGTTCGACTAAGTTTGAATATTGATATGTGACTTGTCGGTATGTTTGGTAGAGGTCACGAGGGCTTCGGGTTAATTTCGGGTGGTTGACGGATCAAGGATGGAATTTGGAGGAATGCTGAAGATTGTTCAATGGGGACCGCAGGTGCAGTTGTTTGGACCGCAGAAGCGGTTGCGCAGGTGCGAGAATAGGGCCGCATATGCGGAAATGCCTGGGCAGAAGGTATAAATTGGACCCTTCGCGAAATTGAGTTATTTCCACCATTTTTATTCGGACTTGAGCTTTTTGGAGGGTTTTGAAGAGGAAATCAAAGGGGTTTACATTGAGGTAAGTTACTTGAGCTTAATACTTGTGATTATGAAATTTTTTAGTTGTTTAAGCATGAATTAGTAGAAATTAGGGATGAAATTGAGGGGATTAGGGCTTGAAATTGGAGATTTTGATTTGGAAATTTGAGGAACCATTTGATGTCGGATTTTGATGAATTTGGTATGTATAGACTCGTGAGTGAAAGGAGTTTCTAGTTTTGTCCCCCGGCTTTGCTTTGCTCCGTTCTGAAAGCCTTTCGAGTTCCCCTGGGTGATACCTGACTGTTATGGAAATAGAGTTTTCGAAAATACGCAATTATTGATGAAAGTAGAGTTATTTCTTGGAAAACACAGTGAAATATCACGTTATTGATGAACTAGTGACTGTAGCACATTTTAGAGACATTGCAACTCTCTCATATCGAAATTTCAAGGGTCCTCCTCAAAATTCTTCCCCAGTTTTGTATATGATCTTTGACTGTTTGCAAACAATAGGCATTGCTGAATCCCCTTCGGAATTTTGAGAATCCTTCTCAAAATTCTGCCCCAGTTTCTTAACCGATTTCTGATTGTCTGACATATGTTGGCGTTGGCTGGACTTGCTCCGAAATTTTGAGGGTCCTCCTCAAAATTCTGCCCCAGTTTCTGATCTTGGGGGAAATGAAAATTTTATTATGATATGACTGAACCCATAAGGCTGCCTACGTATCCCCTCTTAAACGGGAATCAGGTCAAGCGTAGTTCAATTACATCAGATGAGGAAATGCAAAATATCTAAGCATAGTATCTCTTGACTACGTCTGAATTGATCGGTTTTGGCCAGATTTCTGCAAGTATAAGTGCTCCTCCTGTCAGTACCCTGTGAAGCATGTACGGACCTTGCCAGTTGGGAGAGAATTTCCCTTTGGCTTCATCTTGATGTGGGAAGATTTTCTTCAACACCAGCTGCCCTGGCGTGAACTGTCTTGGTTTGACCTTTTTGTTGAAATCTTCTAGACATTCTGTTCTGGCAAAGTTGGCCATGACATACTACGTTCATCCTCTTTCCATCGATAAGGGCCAATTGTTCATAACGACTCCTTATCCACTCTGCATCGCTGAGTTCATCTTCCTGTATGATTCTTAAAGAAGGAATCTCTACCTCGGCTGGGATGACAGCCTCGGTACCATAAACCAACATATAGGGAGTTGCCCCGGTTGATGTGCGAACCGTGGTGCGGTAACCCAACAGGGCAAAGGGTAACTTCTCGTGCCATTGTTTGTGGTTCTCTACCATTTTACTTAGTATCTTCTTGATGTTTTTGTTGGCAGCTTCTACGGCTCCATTCATCTGAGGTTTGTAGGCTGTGTAGTTCTTGTGCTTGATTTTAAAAGCTTTACATATAGCTTTCATCAGATCACTGTTGAGATTGGTTGCGTTGTTAGTAATAATGGACTCGGGAACTACGAATCGGCAGACAATATGATCCTTGACAAAATCTGCAATGACCTTCTTGGTTACAGCTTTGTAAGAATCCTGTGTCCGTTTGAAGCAGTGGGCTCAATTGGACCAATAACATCCATCCCCCAGGCGGCGAATGGATAAGGTGAGTTTGTTGCATTGAGCTCGTTTGGCGGCACTTTTATCATGTCGGCATGCACTTGACATTGAAAGAATTTGCGAACATACTGAATGCAATCCGTCTCCATGGTCATCCAAAAGTAACCTTCCCTGAGTATCTTCTTAGCCAAGATGAAACCATTCATGTGTGGACCACAGGTCCCAACATGCACATCCTCAAGTAGCTTAGAAGCTTCCTTTGAGTCAACATATCTTAGTAAACCCAAATTAGGAGTTCTTCTGTACAAGTTCCCTCCGATGTGGAAGAAGTGATTTGACAGTCTCTGGAGTGTGCGTTTCTGAGTGTGATTTGCATGCTCCGGGTATTCTCCTTTTGATAAGTATTCTATGATGTCGTGGAACCAAGGCTTTCCATCCGCTTCTTCCTCGACATGAGCAGAATATGCCGGTTGATTGTGGATCCCCACCGGAATGGGATATATGTAGTTCTTATCTGGATGTTGTATCATGGATGACAAAGTGGTCAATGCGTCGGCAAACTCATTCTGAATTCTGGGCACATGTCGGAATTCTATCTTTGTAAACCTCTTTCTCAATTCCTGCACATGGTGCAGATATGGCAATATCTTGGAATTCTTGGTGGCCCACTCTCCTTGTGCCTGGTGCACCAGCAAATCTGAATCACCGATTCCCAGCAACTCCTGAATGTTCATGTCAACTGCCATGTTGAGCCCTAGTATGCAGGCTTCATATTCCGCCATGTTGTTGGTGCAAAGAAATCTGAGTTTAGCAGATACCGGATAATGCTAACCCATTTCTGATACCAAAACTTCTCCTATGCCCACTCCTTTGAAATTTGCGGCTCCGTCAAATAACATCCTCCAACCGTCATATGCTTCGGTAATGTCCTCTCCTACGAATGATACTTCTTATCAGGAAAATACGTTTTCAAAGGTTCGTATTCTCCTCCCACCGGATTTTCAGCAAGGTGATCTGCCGATGCTTGCCCTTTGACCGCCTTTGAGTGACGTAGACGATATCGAACTCACTTAAAAGGATCTGCCATGTGGCCAACTTTCCCGTCAGCATAGGTTTCTAGAATATGTACTTTAGAGGATCCATCCTGGATATGAGGTATGTAGTATAGGCACAGAAGTAATGCCTCAATTTCTGAGCTGCACAACAAGTGCGTTCAAGCAGAGAGTACCGTGCTTCGTAAGGTGTGAATTTCTTGCTCAAGTAGTATATGGACTTCTCCTTCCTTCCTGTCTCGTCATGTTGTCCCAAAACACATCCGAAGGCCCCATCCAATACCGATAGATAAAGTAGCAAAGGTCGTCCCGGCTCTGGCAGGACCAGCACTGGTGGTGTGGATAAGTACTCCTTGATTCTGTCAAAGGCTTTCTGACAATCCTCGGTCCATCTTGTTTCGGCATCTTTCCTCAACATCTTGAAGATGGGTTCACATATGACTGTGGACTGTGCTATGAAGCGGCTGATGTAGTTGAGACGTCCTAGGAAGCTCATTACATCCTTTTTGCTCTTAGGTGGCGGTAACTCCTGAATCGCCTTGACTTTAGATGGATCCAGCTCAATCCCTCGACGACTAACAATGAATCCCAATAATTTTCCTGCGGGAACCCCGAATGCACACTTTGCGGGGTTCAGTTTCAAGTTGTACCTCCTTAGCCTGTCAAAGAACTTCCTCAAGTCTGCTATGTGATCTGCGGCCCTCTTGGATTTGATAATGACATCGTCCACATACACCTCTATTTCTTTGTGTATCATATCATGGAAGATGGTTGTCATGGCTCTCATGTAAGTGGCCCCAGCGTTCTTCAAACCGAATGGCATCATCTTGTAGCAATATACACCCCATGGTGTAATAAAAGTTGTCTTCTCTGCATCTTCTTCATCCATCCAAATTTGGTGGTAACCCACGAAGCAATCTACAAGGGATTGGAGTTCATGCTTGGCGCAGTTATCGATCAGGATGTGTATATTTTGCAGTGGGAAGTCGTCCTTGGGACTTGCTCTATTTAAATCCTGGTAGTCGACACTTACTCAGACCTTCCCATCCTTCTTCGGAACTAGCACAATGTTAGCTAACCG